GATGTGTCCCACAAAGAATTTGTATGCTGCCGAGGATCGCGAATAAGAAAATGCTGGAACGTAAAAGACAAAAGTATCGTCTCCTAATTTACAAAAAATATGAAGTGGGGTTTCGTGCCTTCTTAACCCACTGAGTCAAACCAGTGTTTATACACACAACGTATACAAACTTTCTTTTTCGTTTGATGAACAGTTGGGTGTAATTTTATTGAGGCGGTAACCTCTAATGCTGTATGAATCTTACATCAAATTGTATACATACTTAAGCATCCGTGCTTTTTTTGATTTCTCAAAGATTTTATAAAATGGACTTTCTAGAGACCCCCAATCCGGGCATGAATCGCTAAAGATCCAATAAGCCCAACATTGATTCCTTCAGACATGTCAATGGGGGCAAATGCGCCCATAGTGACTAGGATGGATATCTCGTATCCGAAAATTAGCAGCTCGGCCCGTTAATCCTCCAGGGCCCAAATAACTCAATTTTCTCCCATGAACTATTTGGGTCAATGGATTAGTTCGATCCAAAACTTGAGATAATGGGTGTAATCCGAAAAAAGATTCATAAGTGGTTGTTATGATTTATACACCCTTAAGATAAATTTATACACCCTCCAAATTGAAATAAATGCAGATTTGAAAACCAATTTCACACTATTTGTAGATTCATTCAAACATAGTCTAAAAAATTTAAAACTTTTTTTTTTTTTTTTTCCTCATAATCCAGTAACCATGAGTAGTAATCTCTTAGACTTTGACACTGTCCATTAATTATCACAAAATGTTACTGAACTAATATGTCATTACCAACTGAACAGTATGCCTTCAAGACAATCATAGGTAAAAAAAAAGGGAAAAAAAAAAAAACAAACAAACAAACCTGATTTAGATTTTAATTCCTTCTTTCTCCCGTCAAATCCTTCACCACATGCTAACGAATCAGGCGTAGACTTTGCCCCCCCCTAGAAAGGACAAAGTAAAAGACAGAGGGTCAGATAACAAAATCAAACCTTCTGCCACCCAGCTGTTTTCAGCTCGCTGGCGTTTGGCCGCCTTTGTAAATCTCTTGATCTACTGTTTGCCTGAGTTTGATTCCAAAAATAAAAATAAATAAAAAAAAAACAAAACTTTCCGCCATTGCTTTTTCATGATGGGTATACAATTTGGCACCATCCTCGACCACCTATTACGTGTGGAAGGTGTGATGCGCGTTGATGTTTCATCTTCAAGAATTTTCAACTTTCTTCCATGATGACGGGGGCCCCGAAAAAGAACCCCACAAAGACTGCCAAAAAAAACAGGAATTGTACACTCGAGAGGAAAAAATATTGAGGAAACAGGAATTGGTCAATTCACAATTGCAATTCCTGAATAAAGCTGATTCGCATGGATTATGATTGTTAAATAAAACAGATGCTTAGCTAGGTCAATCTTGGTCCTAAACCTGAGGTTTTATCACTTCGCTCAATTCTTGTTAGGATAAATAATCTCTTCTTCTCTTGCACTCTACTGACTTTATGGTCTCACTTGGCACTTTTTCTACTAAGAATCCTCTCAGTTCGTAGTCTTCCGTTATAAAATGCCCAAGGTTACAGGTCTCTCATTTTATCATCCTAGCAGAATCCAC